AAACAGATATTCTGGATCTGTAACGGTACACCAACTCGTGATTGCGTCCATAAAATTTTTGAAGGGATGATTTCAACTTCACCACTTGGAATTCTTGGTTTAATAGCTTTCTTGTTAGCAGCAAATCTCTATGAAGGAAATTATATAAGGAAATCAAGCACTGGAATATCGTATTAACGGGGAGATATATACTCCATATGCAAACGCTGCTGGAATGTTGCTACATAGAAATGGAAAGTTCATAATTAGGAAGCTGAAATCATCTCTTTTGTCGTTAATTTTTTTTTTTCTCAACCGATCATCATTGTCAATTTCTAGATGTAAGTTGGAAGTAGTATGATTTTTTTACAAAGTACGATGTATCCCTCCCTAAGACAAGATATTTAGCATTCTTTAAAATATTTTACTGGTCAAATACGTGTAAAATATGACTACAATTTAGAAACGAACTATCATTGGTAAAACAACAGAAAACACCTCATTTTGTCATAAACCAGGTTGACAAAATTGCACATATTTTGTAAATTTAGTAATTTGGATACGAAAGAAGACCAGACAAGACAAAACTTTATTTATGTCTCACCTGTTCCTTTTATAAAACATACAAATAGTTAATAAAACCTACGACAAAATGAGGATCGATTAATTCAGTTTAAAAGAGAAGGATTATCTATTGTTCGGATTAACGGATAATGTTGTAAAATTTATACGGTTAAGTACATAATGATATGATCAAAGTTTATCATAAGCCAAATTAAGAAGATTTATCATACATATATTCAGAGGATCCTCAAAATACAGTGAGGCCTTTTGCAACCCCTAAACACACTAGGTTTTTGTTTTACATGTATCCTCTTATTCTGTACACTTCTTTTGAAGTATTATAATACTTTATTGAATATGAGACTGACTAGATTCTGACCAATCGGTAAACCTCGAATGACTACGCCACCCTTGAAACAATCAAACATTCATACAAAGTTAGTGTTTGAGGAACGACCTACGCATGGTATTCTGAGTGATACTTTGGCTATTGTAATAATTAATGTTGTATAGGATATTTATATTATGATTTTTAATTTTTTTTTGTAGAATGCATCTGTTATACGTTTTGCTAATAGCTGTTTTGGCTGTATTAGTTTCGTCAAATAAAAAGATTGACATTACCACTCTACTGGACGCGTACACATTAACATGTGGACAACAATTTTGTTACAATCATGATCACAATCTACCTGATACGTCAAGGTATAGTTATTTATGTCCATATTGCAGTTGTGATCCGACATGCTTCTACAATGGGAACTGTTGCTTAGATTTGTTTCTATCTCTTAATATAGAATGTACTAATACAACCATCATATCATACTTTGAGCAAGAGTCTACATCTATTCATGAAGACTTTTTTGTAATGAGAACCTCTTGTCCCGATAGCGTAGATATTGATATTAAAAACCAGTGTGAGGGATCAAAAAATTTGACTGAGCAAATACAACATCTACCTGTTACATCAAAAGGTACACATTTTACATATAAAAACAAATTTTGTGCTGAATGCTATCACGATCTTGACATTGAATATTGGTCTTTTAGTTCAATTTGTGAGGAATTCGTTGATGTTAACTTTATGTCGTCTTTTGAAGACATTCTTCAAACCGCAATTATCAAAAAATGCAAATTCGGAGGCTTTTTGAAAAACACATTTGTCAGAGGATGTGACAAGAATCGCAAATCTGACATAATATCAACCTGCAATGTCAGTGGAACATGGGAAACCTACGATCCAAGTATAGAATGGGCATGCATGAATTACGATAATTCTTATGATATATTTAGGAATGTATTTTGCTACATTTGTAACCCTCCAGCATTCCTTGAACCTGCCACATCACAATGTAATAAAACTGGTCTTTGGGACGGATCAGATATGAAATTAACAAAAGCCTGCCAGGATTTTGGTTTTACATCAACCACTTATCCGTTCAAAAATATATTTTGCTACATATGTAACGTTCCGTTTGACAAGACAAGTTATGAGCAATCAAAAGACGCCTATACATTTAGTGCACATTCTGTGTATAAAGAAAGATATTTTAAATACAAGTTCCAAATAGATTACATCCTTGATCAAACTTTTTTATCGGGACTTTACGATGATAACAACATTCTAGATAAAAACGAGGAAACAAATGTAAAGGAAGACATATACCTACAGTATTATGCAATGACCGGAAATGGACATTTTTGTACAAACGTATCAAGTTTAATTCAAAATGATGGTAGTTGCTCGTGCGATGAATACTGTCATTTTGACAAAACAACTCCATGTTGTATTGATAGAGTTTTTAAACAATCTACTCAATGTATCAGTTCTAGCAGCGATAATTTCCTAGTGTATGATGGATGTGAAAGGGCAGGAAATGGCTTCGGGTCTTTATACGACAAATGTGTCGGTAAAAATGACAATTTACTTTACGATTTGCCAGTTCATGATTATAATACAAATGTTGATTATAAAAACATTTTCTGTGGACTTTGTCGTTATTTTAAAGATTCATCCAAAATGTTTATACCATATCAATTTCATCCATGGACAGTTTACCTTGTTTGTGAGGCAAGCTTACCTTTTTCATATCATGTGTCACTGTCAGAGTTGCTAGACTATAGACATCAGTCAAGATGCACAGTATCATACGAACATCGTAGTTGTGGGAAATGGTGTTCGAAAAATTCATTAATAACGAGTTGCAGTAGTGGCGCAAATTCCTCTTTGGAATATGCATGTCAGAATTATAATTTACCACCGTTTAAAGTAGAATATTACAACAAGATGAATAACTCGTCCTTAAAGAACTATCCAAATATATTTTGTGCCATGTGCAATAACACGACGACAGGACTGTATATAGGCAGTTGTAATATAACGGGTGATTGGGACAAGTATAACGAACAGATTGAACAGAAATGTTTGATTTTACCTCAGTTAGACTACCATTACCCGTTTAAAAACATATTTTGTAAAATATGCAATACCATATCCCGGCAATACGACGTTGGGTTGACCAATGACCCTGGTTGTTTACCTGGTGTTATAGAAAATGAAGTGACACATATTCGTAGTCTGTTTTCATTGTTTTTATACGATGATTCTGCTGATCTTGATAGTCCAATAGAGAGATGTAACAAACATAAAGTTTATGACACCTACGTGGTAAGTTCATCCGTTTTAAATTGATTTTAAAGCTTTTATATATTTGATTAATTACTATAGCTTTTATGTATCTTTCCCTTTTTCATTATAAAGATTGCATCATCTTGTTTGACATTGGTATGCAGTTCTGTTTAGTCGGTAAAGTAAACTGGGTATATCTTTGGACGAAATAATGTAAAAAGTAACATGTTTTAATAACTCGGGGATAAAGTTTAAATGGGAAGTGATATAACGATGTAAAAGTGATTTTCAAATAAACCATCATTAGGATGTACCAGTGATATGTGAGGAAACTTTCAAGGTTACGTTAGATTTAATTTGCTGTGTTAACAAACTTCTCTTTTCTATTCTATCATTTTATCGTTTTATCTGTCATTCATGATTGTAAATAAAGGTGAAGAATGTATATACAGTTGGAGAGAAATAATAAACAAAACATTGCTTTTCAAGTTCATTGTTTCAACAATGTTTCAAAAAAACTGACAGCGCCATGTCTAAATAAAGGCAACAGTAGTATACCGCTATTCGAAATTCATAAATCGATTGAGAAAAAAACAAATCCGGGTTACAAACTAAAACTGAGGGAAACACATCAAATATAAGAGGAGAACAACGACACAACAGAAACACAACACTAAAAGGCAACACACACAGAAACGAACTATAATATAACAATGGCCATTTTCCTGACTTGGTATAAGACATTTTAAGAAAAAATGGTGGGTTGAAACTGGTTTCGTGGCTAGCTAAACCTCCCGCTTTTATGACAATGTTAAATGTAACATTAAAATGACAAGATTACATGACAGGACTACAATACAAATAAATGGGAGAACATACAGGACAGAGACACACACAAATAATAGCTATCAAAAGGTACCAGGCTTATAACTTAATACGCCAGACGCGCGTTTCTAAAAAAGAAAAAGACCAAAACACAAACACAAACACAAACACAAACAACAGTACACAAAACACAACAGAGAAAACTAAAGACTGAGCAACATGAACCCCACCAAAAACTGGGGGTTATCTCAGGTGCTTCTGGTGGGTAAGCATCTTCTCATTGCGGCAATATTACCCCGATTTTTTATTTTATCAATATTAGTCAGTAACCATCAGCTCACCTTTTCTCTCTCTTTGTGTAGAAATAAAGGTTATAATGCCCACAGTTTTATTTATGCTATTTTGAAAGATTTCTATTTGTTTTTCAGATTCACATATACTGACTACTCTTTTTCAGGAACAGTGTCGAGATATCGGATGTTTTCCAGGACGAGTTTTGATTAATGACCGATGTCTACCAGTGCTACCTTTTACCTCAAACATAGGTTACATTATTGCTTTTGGCGTGGATATTTTCTTAACTTTTGCAATTGAAACACCTGTCTCTTTTTTAGGGAAGTTGCGAAACGAAATTTGGAATCAAATTAAGCTGGTTGGCGGTTTTCAATATCCCTTTAAACAAATGTCTATCATTTCAGTAAACATACCATGCAATGATGACTTTTCATGGACTGTAGGACATATTCATATATCTGTCTTTATGAAAATGTTTAGTGTTGGTGTTGTTGACAGAAGCAAAGTAGAGCAAAATCTTTTTAAGTTCATGCAAACTAATTTTACTTTTTATTTTCCCTGTTCAAAAAGTACTCCTGAAGTATTTTGTTCATCAAAATGCATTTTGGGTTTCGATGAAAATGCTTTTCATCTTCCTTCACGATTCTATTTTGCTTCTGAAAATAACGAATGTAGCCTGAAGGAAGAACTTAAAATTCAAAACACGAATATGTATGTCTTCCGACGAATTAGTAGTCTATTGGAGTGTCCTCAAATTCAGCTGGAAGCTGACGAAATTCAGGTTACATATGATAAAACTAAAGTCCGTATCCTTCGTTCTGGTGCTGAACTCAATTACTATGAATTCTTTTTTATAAAAGAAAATGCAATAAGAATATGTCTGAGTAAATTTTACGACATTGTTAAAGCTACCAAACAAGAGAAAACTCCTGTTATCCAAACGGTAATACTTATTTGCACTACGTTATCTCTTGGTGCCCTTTTGTTTACATTTGTTACTTATTGTATGTTTCCATCGTTAAGAACGCTGCCTGGGAAAAATAATATGAGTCTTATTTTTGCACTATTTTGTGCCTATACCTTTCTTGAATTCGGTATTGAGAGAACTGAAAACCAAATAGGTTGCATGATGCTAGGAATTTGTATTCATTTTTTCTGGCTGTCCACCTTCGGTTGTGTGAATGTTTGTTCTTTTCATATGTTTCGTACTTTTCGACAAAACTTTATATTCCAGAGTTATGATCAAGAAAGAGACAGAAAGCGGTTTGCCCTTTACAACCTTTACTCCTATGGTGTTCCATTGCTTTTTGTTGGCTTGAATGTGATAATTTCGAATCGTGTAATTGACAATCAGTCCTACGGTTACGGTGGAAAGGCTTGTTTTATCTCGCATCAGTTGACAGTTCTTTGTACATTCATTGCTCCTGTGGCACTTATCTGTTTGGTAAATCTTGTTTTGTTTATTTTTACAGCGATAAGTATAGCCTCTACACCAAAAGCTTGTGCGACGGACTCCTTTTCTCAAAACAAAATTCAATTTTCTGTTTATGTCAAACTTTTTATCCTAACTGGAGGTTCGTGGATTTTGCAGATTTTAGATTCTATTTTTCCGTTCTCAGTTTTCTCAATTTTAGTTTCCTCTCTGAATTCATTTCAAGGTATTTACATATTTTTTGCATACATTTGTAACCACCGTGTTTTTAACTTGTACAAGAGTTTAACTGAACAAAAGCAGATTGATAATTGTAAAACCGATCAGCGCATTTTCAAATCGAACATGCCGTTCCTGTCAACAGTATCTGCTACAAAATACCAAAACGATAAAGAAGTTGATTTAGGTCAATCAAACAAGGATGAAAGAATTTTGACGACAAACATGTAAAATGGATAAAAAACGTACAAACTGGTCTAAAGGCAAATCTAATTATTGTATGTTCATTTCAAATCTTCAACGTAAATCGTCTAGCTAAAGCGTTCATTCAGTTTGTTAACTTGACAAGAACATGTGTTATGCTACTGTTTAGAAAGGACATTGATGTAACTACGACGGACTATACAGTCATCAATGAGCAAACCCAAACCGTAAGCTAAAAAAGGCATGACAAAATGGGAAACAATGCAAAAGAAAAAAGTCATGATTAATGCCAAAACCAACAAACGAAGAACAGATATGACAGACAGGAACCAACGACAATCACTGAATTACAGGCTCCTGTTTTGGACAGACACATGTATAATATGGCGGGGTTAAAAATTATGTGAGAGCTCAACCCTGCCCTAACATGGAACAGAGTTATACCAGCACCACAAAAGAAAAAAAAGAAAAACATCAGTTGATTAAGGCTGGACTCGTCAGATAAGTATTAAGCTAACAAAACAAAACGCTAAAAAACACAAAACAAAAGGAACAATTCTAATAATCATCCCTTAGTGAATTTTACGGACGCCATCACGAGTTGGTTGACTGTTATGGATGTTTCACAGATGATAGCGGATATGTTTCTAATGCCGTTACTACAATCCCGTCCCCGTTTCTCCGAATATGACCTACATAATTAGACTTATTACCGGGTTTGTACTAACATGAACAACACGACAGGTGCCACAAGTGGAGCAGGATCTGCTTACCCTTCCGGAGCACCTGAGATCACCCCCAGTTTTTAATGGGGTTCGTGTTGCTCAGTCTTTAGTTTTCTATGTTGTGTTTTGTGTATTATTGTTTGTCTGTTGGTCTTTTTCTTTTTTAGCCATGGCGTTGTCAGTTTATTTTCGACTTTGACTGAGTTTGACTGTCCCTTTAGTATCTTTCGCCTCTCTTTTATTCAGTTTTCAATGGAAGTGGAAATAAGGCTGTCAGGATCTCTTTACTGTGATCATCTTAATTAAGGAATATATTTCCCTCAAGCAAAGCACTGATTCAATGCCCGGCTTTAACTATACAGTTTGTCCCTTTAGGTTGATTAACTCTGCATTTTTTAACAAGTTTTGGATTTTCAAATAGTTTGGACTAAGGCATCACTGAAGAGACATTTATTGTTGAAACTCGCTTCTGGTGCAAGAATTTGGTACTGTTAATGTTATTATTTCATTAGATCTGGATAAATGTAATGTTTCTTATTCAAATTATACAAGAACAAAACTGGAATCTTATTCTTAAATCAGAACTTCCAAATACGCCTCATGATAAGATAAAGCAAAATGTAAAAATCGAATTTGTGTAAAGTTTTTACATTTTATTGGTGCAGTCCCATTTTAAGATATTGGTAAAAAAAATAGCATTATAGGAAATTATCAACAGAACGTCTACCTAGAATTATGTTATAAAATGATGCATTGTAAATATAAAACGTCGTAAAAACAAGTGTGTTCTATATATCTAACTAGTCATGTCGTCAATAAAATATACTGTAAGAAGTTCTTTAGTTTATAGTTTTTCATTGGAATATTGTTTCAAAAATGCAAGAATAGTATCAATTGAATTTAATCACCCTCTGTGTTAAGCCTTTACTACAATGTGTGAAATGAAATGTTGATTTTTTATCTTTTCCAAGCGTTTATTTCATATTACGTAAATCAATATTTTTTTTTCGATGCGCATCTAGTTATCATTATTATTCCTTTTACATATTATCGATACCTGATTGTTGTTGTTTACTTAACGTCCAGTAGATATACTTATATCTCATGAATATTCTGGAATCTTAACGAGAATAATTAAACATTATACTCACTACGAAGGCCCTGTAAAGCGGATCGTCCTGGCTGTACAAGGAAGTGGTCCTAATCGGAAAAGGAGGGCGTCGGATAAAAGAAGAAACGTTTCTTTGCAACAAGTCATGTTCGGATCCCTCAAATCGTTGTCACGAGGGTTCTTTATTGTTTCGAAAGCATGTCATACTCGAAACCTCAAATTTGACTTTTCATTCCCGAATATACGAGGCTGCATATTTCTTCATCTAAAAAATGGACGCTTCTCATTGGTATGGGTTTTATTTCCGAATGGGAGAAGTCCAGATGACCATCTTTTACAATCGAAAATCGTATGGGACCGAAATCAACAAATTCTTGACATGCTCTTGTACGGACTACATAGATAATGAGTTACTGAATTGATACTAGGCATCACAGTGTTATTCAGAGTCGATTGCACAATCATTGATCGCTTTCTCCATACCAATTGACTATATAAAAAAATAACATTGTGGGATTTTTTTTTTTTGGAGGAAACAGTCGTTCTCTCCTGTAACTTATTTATTGAATCCACATAGACATGGAAAAAAAATAAAAACGACGAAAAGACAAAAAAGTGAACAAAACACTGCATAGACAACTTTACACTGAGTAACACGAATCTCGCCAAAAACCGTTGATAATCTCAGGTGCACATGAAGGGTTAATAGATCCTGTTGCACATGGTGTTAATCCTATAAAATACTTGGATGGAGAGTTGTCTCATTTGCACTCATACCACATCTTCTTATATCTATTTGATAAGTGATTTGCAACTTCCTGTGAAAAACCAATGACCTTTATATAAAATATGGAATTGTGTATAGCTTCAATAAAATTAGACGGGTTTTTTTCTTTCTTGATTCCAATGGGGATATTGCACTTGAGATAAAAAGAACATAATGCCATGAACAACTACGACTTGATTGCTGCTTTTGGTCATTACAGTTTCTGTATGGCCTTCAGCAATAAATGTAATACACCTGAGAGCAATATTAAGATGGATAGATGGACTCTTTTGTTGCATTAAGATTGCTATCTAGACTGTCACTTCTTCAAAACCATGTGTTTATGTATAATTAAAGTTTTGTATTCTGCCAACTTATATAATTTAAATACTTGGAAATACTTGTGATTAAACAATCACGCATGCATCTGGACCAAAAAACAAAAACTACCTTCAAATTTTTACATAGACAACCATTAGTTTTGGATATAAAATGATTGGTGGTAGACAATATCATCTTAATATAAGTATAGCTTACATATTTTGGACAATAACATGTGACCTTTTAATTTGATATGCATATACCGTTCCCTTCACTAACGGTAAGTCGCATGTTTCATCTTCCAATTGACAAGGTAGAAGTCCGCAAGAAGACATGTCATCCTATCCGAACACGTTTTCTGACTTCTATCCGACCTGTCTTTGCTCGAGATATCAAAATCATGCCTAAACAGTGTTGAGTTTGACCCAAACCACAACCTCCTACACTCAAACCCCCGACACCAAGCCATTTGACCGTCTTTAAAAAAAATAATAAATCATGTTACTGTCGAGCAAAGCAAAAACAGGACCTACAATTAACTTAAAAATAAATCTTTGATATTAAAATTGCTGCATGGTTACAAAGATTAAAAGACACACACAAAAAAAAACTTTTCGGCTTTCGTTCACAACGATGTCATCGAAAAACATCTCATAAAAAGTTTAAGGAAACTTGAACTTTGAACAATTAATTCCCTAGATACTGTGAACCTTTAATTATATGTCAGGAATTTGTGACAAAATATCGACGTCGATGACAATGTAAATGGTACACGAATCGTCCGACACAAAATGATCTTACACCGACTAAAACAATGGGAAAAACTAGTAATTACACAGGGTTGTCGGAAGATCAAAATCGTTACCCTATTGATCATTTGAACGATGACTGAACATTTTGCCGTTGATTTTCATCCAATCATATTGTTTATCTGTGAAGTGTTTTTGATAAAGAGGAGTCGGAGTTTGGTTGTTAGTATGGTCTGTTGTACTGTCCGTTGTACTGTCCAATGTTCTTTTCTGTAATTTCTATAAATCTTTTATAATGTATTACCAGATGCTGTACACATCAAAATTCGGATGTCGTATGCTTAATAGACTACTAGACCACACCCGCGACATCGCGGGTCCGTGACTGAATTGAGTTATCTAATCATGTATAAGTCTTATTTTTAGCCTGGATTTTTAGTATTGGTATTGTCATATGATAAAGTCATGTCGGTTATAAGAGGCACGGTTTACTCTGCTTTCAAAATCTTTCTGTTTGAACCCGTCGACCAGGAACTTATTAATTATTTGTAGTATTTATTATTTGAAAAACAAAAGGGCCCGGAGTGGTGTAATTTGTAATCAACATCATTGTCCTATATTAGTTATACATAAAGTTGAATTCTTTAATTCGCCGTTTTTATGTCATGCCGCCTAACAAATTGGAAACTGTACCTACGCCTTTATTTCAAGTCTGGATTTTTAGTCATGATTTGAATGTATTGTTCAGTATCTTAACTAATATAGGAAAATAAACTGATTAAAAAACCACAAATGGAAACAATGTGACAATGATTGAATTGAGTAGTGTCAACCCTGTATAATGACGAAGTTTAGGTGTGTTTGTTATGACCCGTGTATATAGCAAATGGTGGTGCGCCTGACGGATGCGGAACGTACATATTAGGTAATAGGTAACAGGTGACATATACTATTGGTATCGATATAGGATTCGACCCGGAACTTGTTAATTATTGATAATATTAATTATGTGGAAAACAAAAGGGCCTGGAATGGTGTAATTTTTAATCAACATCATTGTCCTATATTAGTTATAGGAGAATCACTCTGATTCAAATAAAAAATTCTCCGAAACTGACATTATCAAGATGCTTGATTTCTTGATTGACAACATATTTGTTACGTTTGGAGGACGTGTTTTTCAACAGACTGTCGGAATTCCAATGGGAACCAATTGGGCCCCTTTTCTTGCCGACTTGTTTCTTTATTATTATGAGGCTGACTTCATACAGGAACTTCTTAGGAAGAAAGATTAGAAGTTAGCAATATCCTTTAACTCTACGTTCCGCTATATAGATGATGTTCTCTCACTAAATAATACAAAATTTGGTTACTATGTTGAACGAATCTATCCCATCGAACTAGAGATAAAGGATACTACAGATACAGTTAAGTCTGCCTCATATCTTGACTTACATCTAGAAATTGACAATGAGGGTCGGTTGAAAACAAAACTTTACGACAAAAGAGATGATTTCAGCTTCCCAATTGTGAACTTTCCATTTCTATGTAGCAACATTCCAGCAGCGCCTGCAAACGGAGTATATATCTGCCAATTGATACTATATTCCCGGGCTTGTGTTTCCTATCATGACTTCCTTGATAGAGGATTGCTGCTCACAAGGAAGCTATTAAACCAAGAGTTCCAATTGTTGAAGTCCCTTCGTAAATTTTACGGACGCCATCACGAGTTGGTTGACCGTTATGGAATAACCGTTTCACAGATGATATCGGATACGTTCCTTATGTCGTAACTACAATACCATTCCCTTTTCACGAATGTGACTTAGCGAATTAGACTATTAACCGGATTTGTAATAACATAAGCAACACGACGGGTGCCACATGTGGAGCAGGATCTGCTTACCCTTCCGGAGCACCTGAGATCACCCTCAGTTTTTGGTGGGGTTCGTGTTGCTTAGTCTTTAGTTTTCTATGTTGTGTCATCTGTACTATTATTTGTCTGTTTGTCTTTTTATTTTTGGCCATGGTGTTGTCAGTTTGTTTTCGATCTATGAGTTTGACTGTCCCTCTTGTATCTTTCGTCCCTCTTTTATATATAATGTTGAATTCTTTGATACGTCGACTGAGCATGCGCGAAAGCGTATAAGACACGGATCGATAACGGTCTCCGAATTTGTATATTTTCTCAAAAATTGGCGTTTTCTGTGGAAAAAAAGATTTTGCTTAAAAGACTATTTTTATATTCCGGCGTATATATTTTTTCTACAGGATACCTACTCTGTGTTTTAATATGCGGTGAACAACGTGGGAAGCATGGCGGGAATGAAGATGACTGACCAACTGTGAGGAGAGAAATTTCAAGCAGAAGAATAAACAGGCAAGATATTATTCAAAATAGACTGCACATTTTGTTGTGATATTCGATTAACTGATAACCTGACCTGAAATAAGGTGAAGCTTCCAGACAGATCCAGTGTACACGTGTCATCCTTATTTAAAACTGAAATGTGAAAAAATTTTAAAACCGAAGATCACATTTACAAAAAAAGACTTGTACGGGTGCTGCTAAACGGCGGAAACGGAAAGAAATATTTATATGGACGGAATTTGAGAAAAAAAATGGCGAGAATTACGAAAATCAATAATTAAAGACTAATATAACGAAATCACACAAGTCTGTTGAAAAAAGGATAGGAGATATCATGGAAAATAGCAAACAGTTTTGCAAATACATAACAGACATAACAGCTAAAAAAAACTAGAGGCCATAACGAGCATGTGTCGCTCATCTAGTTCTATGTGCATCTTTAACAATGGGAACTCTCCAACATTGTAGACTTGAATAGATTAAAAAAAATCTCTTTTTTATTTATCTTGAATTACTGACCATTTTTCTGTTTTACAGATTCTCTCTTCTCTTCATTAGTTTTCACCCAAAACACAAAAGAGGGTAAAAAAAGTCGTCATTTCAGGGCAATCACTTCTATAAATAGTCTACTTACTATTACGGCAAAATTTGACTCGTTAGTAGATCTTGTCTTGTTGATAATTTTTGTTATCTAAAGTTTCTATCTATCTTTTATAGTTTTCAGGATAATAGGCAAAAATACCCAAAATTGGTAAAAATCATTAAAAAGCAAAAACTCAAATAACGAATCGACTAACGATTCCGACCATTTTGACCTCTTTGTAGATCTTGTCTTGCTAGTCATTTTTGCTCTTAAAAGTTTCTATCTATCTATAATATATTTCAATGTTATAGGCAAACATGAAAAAAATGGTAAAATTCGTCATTTAAGGGGGATGATAACTCCTACAAGAAATCGTCTGACAGTTTTGACGTGAATGGACATTAGGTAGAACCTTCAACCTCAACCTTCTGAACATTTCTTCCCCATCAGATTTTCTCTATTCATGGCGGTTTTCAAAATAATAGACAGCACTTCCCTATGTTCAATTTTTAGCCATGTTGACCATCTTGGTTGGCAGGCGGGGCTATCTAACACCTTTTTTTTAAACTAGATACACCAATGATAATTGAGGCCAAGTTTAACCAAAACAGACGACTTCTTATAGGACATGTGTTCGATAAAACTTGGCCCAGTAGTTTCAGAGTAGATGATTTTTGTAAAAGTTAACAACGACGAAGACGAACGACGGACGCCAAGTGATGAGAAAAGCTCACTTGGCCCGGTGGACCAGGTGAGCTAAAAAGACGTCTCAAAGTGTACCACCACTAAAGACTAAGGCAGGTCTACCAGCAGAAATCGACCATGACAGAGCAAAAAAAATAAATGAACAAAATTATATCCAAAATTGAAATAGAAATAACTTCAGTAAGGGCGAGAAAAAAAAATTAGAACATGGACTCAATACATCAAAAGCATGAGGGCAGACGAAATAAGCCCTAGAATATGTAAAAAAATATTAAATGAATATTTCGGTATTTTTTTTATTTTACTTTTTTTTAGCACAAATCATTAGTCAACTTTTTCAACAATCCAACAATACCATACCTAATGAATGGACAACAGCAGACATTTGTCAGCTTTTCAAGAAGGCTGACCATTCGATACCGCTAAGTATCTTTAACGTGCATTTTCTGCAAGATGCTCGAACATATAGTATGTTTCAACATTCTGCCTCATCTAGATCATTATAGTATCATCAATGAAAAAAAACATGCTTTTCGTAAATATCGCAGTTGCGACTATGTGCTGTCATCAATGTTTGGGCCAAAAAACACCGATAAAGGACATATTAATATTATATTTTGAAAAAGCTTTCGACACACAGCCCCACAAAAACTACTTAAATCGAAATTAAACAGTTACTGGATATCAGGTAAAACACTGTTGGATTGACTCATTCCTATGATACCGCAAGCAAAGATTCGTGGTAAATTGGACAAAATCAAACTGGTCCATCAGGCGTTGATTCTGGGGTACCCCAAGGCACTGTCCTGGGTCAGGTGTTATTCAGTCTACATATTAATGATATCTTAGATAATCGGGTGTTTGGCCAGTAGAAACATCCAAACGATCAGATGCGTAGCATAGAATAAAAATAAATAAAATAGAACAGAGAATAAGGATTTTTCAGCTATCTTGACATAGTACTAAAATCTTTAAAATCTACCAATATAAATAAGAGTATTTCCTTATCGGTTGTTGTCCATACTTCATTTTCCTACCGGTATTCTCTTACGTTTACTTTCCATTATACAAGAAAAGATAGAAGGAAAATCCCCCCAAAATGCATTACTCTACAACCTATCTAGAATCGAGGAGAATGTCCATCTTTTTAGACCGTATTTCTGTTTTTTGTATTGTTGGGTTACTGTCTTATTGACGTTTATCCAACATCTATTTTAATATCTTTATTTTTTTTTTAAATAAGAAAGTCAAACAGACTATAGTAAATCGCAAGAACCGTACATACGTTCATGGTCTCAAGTAGAATATAAAATAAATGAACCAATGGAACAATTGCAATTGGTTTACGCAATTAAATAACGTACAATATACAAGCCATTATTAAATATTTTAAAAACATAGTCTCGTCATCTCCTGCCAAATTATTGCAATACTTTATGCTTTAAAATGTTTTTTTCTTAAATTTATTCCTCTGTTTTTCTTTCTTGAAAACATTGTAATATACTATATAAAAAATGCCTATGTAAATAAATAACCAAAAAGAAAAGATGTAAATTTCTTTCTGTTTCCGTTTTTCGTTTCCGTTCCGTATTCCGTATCCGCCTTTTAGCAACATCCCTCCCAAGTCATGGTCCATTGTAGGTATATCCGCATTGGCAGATCTTGTTAACACGGAAATTATTTGGCTTTATCTAAAGTCGTGGTGTAGTGACTGAATAGTTTACATGTGAAATTTGTGCTATTTAATTTTCAACATTTGCATTTTACTATCAAAATTACATACAGGCGAGGCGTGTGTG